TCTGCAAGCCCAGCCACTGGACAGGGGAGAGGTCCGAGCTCCCCATGGACAGGGATTGCTGCCAAGGACTAGCCTCTGTCTTTGGGGAGCTTGGAACCCCCTGTGGACAGGGGCTGCTGCTGCAAACCAGCTTCTGTCTGCTGGGAGTTTTGATGGACCCCCGCGTACAGGGGCTGCTGCCACTCCATGCTGCTGCCTCTTTATCAGAAGCAGCAGCCTGTGGCAGTGGGCATTAAACTCTCTCTCCTTGCAGACCGGCTCCTGCGCAGGGGATACAGAGGACTATCAAATAGTTGTGTAACCAATAAAGATTTCATTGTGGTTATACAACTATTCAGTTACATGAGCTCTAACATCCCTAGTCATAATCATACTGTTAACTAAGTAGAGTTAATGGGAGGATTTTTTTCTTATTGTCTCCATTTCTGTAATAATGTTTTTTCTTTGTTAAATATCCAAATGCTAAATACTAAAGCTGCTAATGAAGAGCTGTTTTTTAAAAGTCACCTGCAGCTGAGGACATGCAGATAAGTGTCTGTGTATCTACTTAAAAATCCTCTGCTTCCGTAGTCACATTCTGCATGTTTATAAACACTGATATGTCTGAAAATTATAGGTGAGAAAGTGAGTATTAAAACTCCCTCTTACCAGACAGAGTAATGAACTAGGACTTAGACTTGGGGCCTTTTAGTGACTTTGTCACTGGCCTGTTGGGTGACCTTGGGCAAGTTACTTCACTGCTCTGTGCTTTCATGTATTACTCTGTAAAATGAGGACAATGATACTACATTTTGTAAAATTCTTAAGATCTTTTGGAAAGCCTAATTTAATTATTATTCTGTTTAATACATTGGATTACATGCTTTCTGCATTATTGAATTTTAAACTGTTTTGCAGGTATATTTAGTGATACCCATGTACTTGCCATGATGTATATTGGAGAAATGTGTTACTGGGGCCTGAAACACTGTGGAGTAGAAAAGCCTGGGACCCATGAAATGGATTCTGAATCTAATACTGAACTGTATTGCTGCTTACGTAGTGCAGTACTGGATTTCCGAGAAGTAGGAGAAAAGATGTTAATGAAATATATAGCTGTGTGTGATGGACCCTTAAAAGGACAAAACTGGAATACTACAAATGCAATCCTAATCTTGGACTACTTCAAGAAATTCCACTGCTAGCTTAATTAACCAGTTGCTGTTTATCTGTTCTTTACAAGAAAGTTGCAATAAATGAAGAATACAACTAGAAAGGTCAAACTGAGACAAAACTGTATTAAAACCTCAGTAGTGTGACTCTTTCTTGTGAAATTGGAAGTTTTATTGCTGCAGTTCTAAAAGCTGTTGGGAAGAGGTACTACTCATTGGCTGCGTCTAGACTGGCAAGTTTTTCCAGGAAAAACTTGCCAGCTGTTGACACTGGCCGCTTGAATTTGTGCAAGAACACTGACGATCTAATGTAAGATTGTCAGTGTTCTTGCGCAAATACTATGCTGCTCCTGTTAGGGAAAAAGCCCTCTTGCGCAAATGTATTTGCGCAAGAGGGCCAGTGTTGACTGTTTTGCGCAAAAAAGCCCCAATGGCGAAAATGGCGATTGGAGCTTTCTTGCGCAAAACCGCATCTAGATTGGCACGGACGCTTTTCCGCAAAAAGTGCTTTTGCGCAAAAGCGTCCGTGCCAATCTAGACACTCTTTTCCATTAAACTTTTCCGTTAAAAGCGTTTGCAGAAAATCATGCCAGCCATTTTGTTAAAAACAACTCATTTAGTGAGCATTCAGTTAGGCAACCTACCCTCTTCTCAATATTAATTTCTAAAAATGGGGTTGGTGGGGCTGTAGTCACTGATACCTGTGATAGCAAACTGCTGTTTGTGGGGGTGATTTTGTAATAAGCATTGCTGTCACAAGAGGTGAAAGAAAGGTGGTACACTACTCTGGCAAGAGCCAGTGGGGGTGCTCTGCTGAGAGCCAACTAGCTGGCAGCTTGGCTTGGGGTGTGCTCTTCCTGCTGGTTCTTGCTGCAGTTTGGTGCTGGTGACCCAAGTGCATGCAGCTATGTGAGGCTCCCTCTACTCTTGGGGGGGGCGCAAGACATGCTTGGGGAGGGAGGAGGCACAAAGGAGGAGGGCTGCTCCCCCTGTCCACATGGCAGTAATGGCCATGTTTCCTAGAGGGAGAAGCCTTACTCTGGGCGGGGGAGTGCAGGGTTGGGGTGGGGGCAAAGAGGTGATGAGGGTCAACAGTCATGGGGCACAGGGCTGGAGGTCAAAGGGTGTTAGGCATGGGGGAGTAAGAGGCTGGGTTGGAGCTAGGAGCACTGGTAACATTTTATCTGCATGTTCATTGTTTGTTCAATGAATATGCAAATAAAATGTTGCTAGTCTACCAAACTTTAGTGAATGGGTTTGCCTGTCTGCAGCATAAAAAGGCTGGCAACCACTGGGCTAAAGAGACCAGCTAGGGACCCTTTCTGTGGATGCTGGGCAGTGTACATGCCATCAGGGCATGCCCTCTTGCCAGTGGCCTCTGGGACCAAGGGAAGGGAGCAGCAGGCCAGAGGGGAGGTCTCACTACTGCTGGTTTCCTTGTAGCAGAGTACCCATATGGCTTCCTTGTGGCAGGGAGTGGTCCTCCCAGCCTGGCAAGGTAACCCAGCTTACCCCCCTTTGCTACCTGTCTTGACTCCTGACAGCATCCCCCCCCAACCCCACAGTTAAATTTTGCAGCCCCTCCCACCACCTGCCCTGAGCTGCCGCTTCCCCCCATGGTGGGTGGGTTGTGAGAGGACGGTACCTGGTAGGTTTTCACCCCTGGTACTTACCCCCTGCCCCGTGAAAGTGAGAGGATTCCGGCTTGAGAGTGCGGTTAAAGCGCCCTTTCCTGGCACAGGCCGTAGCTAAAGCGGGAGCAGGCGCGGGGCTGTTCAAGGAGGGAGCCCTGGTCTCGGTTCCAGCCTCCGGCAGCTGCTGCGCTTTGAAGCCCGCGACCAGAGCGGCTCTCCCCGTTGCATTGGGGCTTCAGGCAGCTGCGGCTGGGGGGCCGGGCGGAGCCGCTCTCGGGGCTGGCCGCGCAGCAGCCCGGGGCGTGGCGTGGGCTTTCGGTGACCCGGTAGCGCTCCTTCTCCACGACCCGCTCCAGGCAGCCCGGCCAGTCGCCCCGCCAGCTGGAGCCCGCGATCGCCGCTCCCAGCCGGGCCCCGGGCAGCGTCCTGGGGGCTCTCCGGGCGGGCGAGGCAATGGCAGCGAGCAACGCCGGGGACTGGCGCCGCCTGGAGTCCGCCCTGCGCAGCAGCCTGCGCCTGCTCAGGGACAGATGGGCACGGAGGCCGAGGCAGCGAGAGGGGCAGGGGGGCGGCGGCGAAGAGGTTTGCGCCCTGCAGATGCTGCCGGTGAGTGACCCAGCTCCTGCCCCATTTCCGCCCAGAGCAGACACCTGCCCCTTCCCTGTCTCTCACCCCACGCACCTGCCCAGGCTCGCCTTTTCGTCTCTGACCAGCCAGCCGTCTGGCTCCCATCTGGTTTGCAGCGTTTGGGCGTTGTTCCTGTAGTTCAAACGCATGGTCATATTCTCAATCTGGCATATCCGCAGACATTACATCCTGCGGGTTTGTGTCTGATACTCGCATGGTCATTAATCTAGCAGAGGGTATAGAAAACTCCAGTGGTTGGAAGCTGAAGATGTCAAAGTTCAACCTGAGGATAAGGTGCAATTTTTTTTAACAGTGGGCACTGATAATCTGTCGTTAGAGTCTAAATCTAGATTGCAAATCTTTCTAAAATCTATCCTTTCATTCCACCAGAAATTGTTGGGCTAGATGCAGGAATTACAGATAATCTTTGGTACAAATTATGCATGGATATGGTCCCTTATTTGGCTTTATAATGTTTCATTTTTTATGCTTTTGCTCTCATTTCCCTCTCCTGGTCTCTTATATTTGTATGGGTCTTGGGACATTAAAATTGCTCTTCTTTAATGTTTTCAGATTGATGTGCAGTTATACGTTATGTCATTTCTCTCACCCCAAGACCTGTGCCACTTGGGAAGCACAAATCAGTATTGGAGTCTAGCTGTGCGGGATCCATTGTTATGGCGATATTTTCTCCTGAGGGATCTGCCTTCTTGGTCTTCTGTTGACTGGAAGTCACTTCCAGATGTGGAAATCTTTAATAAATCCTTTTCTGAGCATAATGATAATGCATTGCATGACTACATGACAATGTAAGTATTTTACTTTTCTCCAATGTGTATAAAGCAGTGTAACTCATCCCAAACCCAAATTTTAAAGCCAAAACTCTGCTAGTCTAGTTACATAAAATAAATAAAATTACTTGACTCTTGGAATGGTTTTACAGATAAAAAGCATTTCTAGTTCCTTTGAAAGGAAGTTTCTAATTAAGTAATAATTTGCTCAGTTCTTTTTGCTAGGTATTAAATAGGAATATAAGAATATTGCAAAGAATTTCAAAGTATTTTGCAAATAATACACATACGATACCACAGGAATGCAGCCACCTCAGAATAGGAACTAGCCAGCCATTCAGCTAACCCACAGCATGCTATATAAAAAGTGTGGTGGGAAAGGAGGTGGTAATATTTTTGTCCAGAAGTCTTAAACAAACTCCTACTCTTAGCAAGAGCACTATTAACAAGTGCATCTGATAAAATGTTTTTTACCCATGAAAGTTTATGCTCAATAAATTGGTTCGTGCCAAAGGACTCTCTGCTGTTTTTACAGATATAGACAAACACAGCTACATCTCTAGCAAAAGTATGGCGTAAAGCAAATTGGATTTTGGTTTTTAAGGTCTTGCCTGACAGACTCAGGTACAGCAAAATGTATAACTGTACATTCAATCAACTACATTAAAAGAATAATTTTGGCATTGCCTAACTTTTGCATCTTGACTTTGATCCCTAATACATTTTTTAACATAGTTTTTTATTGAGCATTTCATGGAGGATGCAACTTCATAATTAAAGAAATGGGAGGAGGGATCTGTTACATGGAACAATATTGGCAATAATTGGTGTTCGCCAATATGTGGTTTAGGGATGTAAAATTTTGATTTAGTCGATAAGAGCTCTTCTGCCTTTGAAGTGTAGCAACAGCCTTGGGGCTGTTTGAAGCACCCCCTCTTGTTGCCTCTTTCTGATAGAAGCAGCAAAGGGGTGGGAGGTGGAAGCGACTAGTCAACTACCCTGTCGACTATCCGATAAGCGTTTGCTTATCGGATAGTCGACTAGTTGTTCTCATCCCTATAGTTGTTCTCATCCCTAATGTGTATCAGCCACTAGAGGGGAATGAGACACATGCTTTGCCAGGGCAATGCTTTCACAACTGTCTGCTGACTGTAGGAATGTAGGTGCTCAAGATTCCTGGGTTGCGTTCTCGGTTCTGTGATTTGTGCCCCCTTGAGCCTTATATCCCTGTGTTCCTCGCCTATTCTTGTTCCCCTTTCATTTCATCTCCTTCCTGATTTCTGCCTCTTTCCCACTGTACTCCTGTTTGACTCCCTGCTACTGCCCTCTTCTCCCTAAACATCTGTATACCTTCCCTTATCTCTGTAGCTGTCTCTCTCTCTCTAATCTTCTGGTGATCTCTATCCCCTGACTCTTGCATTCCCATTCTCTCTTGAGTGCCAATCCAGTACCTTAACTGCATGAACATTTCTTACTGGTCTACTTACGTACACTATGTAACAACCATAAGTTAACAACTCCATCATGACTGACATGATTGATTAATTGATATGAATCAGTAATTAATAAGTAAAATGCATTTAGTACCTAATTTAATTGGCAGTAATTAATATCTCTTCTGTACTTTGTGTTAATTTCTAATTCTATTTTACACAGATACAAAAAGAGCTGTCCTCAGAGAAGACATTTGAAATCAAGCCGTCCCACATATGGGGCTGTGGCTTCCTTTTTACAATCATTGGTCACACAAGCAGAACCTCGCTTTGCCCTTTTTGGACCAGGTTTAGAAGAATTGGATGAATCTTTGGTGCAAAGAATGATGACATGCCCAGAAATTTTGCCTGTAGCTTGTTTACCTCAAAGACAAATCCATGGTAATAGTCTGTTGTTTTTTTACAAACGTTCTGCAAGATAAAAGGTGCTTTTATACCTCCATTTTAAATGTCATTGTAGAACAATAAGCATTTTATTGGGTAAAATCTTGGCACCTTGAAGTCAGTAAGAAAACTCAGTTGATATCATTGGAAAGGGTGTGCCAAGATTTTATCCCTAGGTTTTGGTTCAGAACTTGGAGTCAAGCAAGCTGTGATCATGGATAAATCTTGAGCCCAGCTTTCTTTAGCTGACATTAAGACTATATGCTTTTAAAAAAAAATGCTTTTGTTTGATTGCCTGCACTTTATACAAAAAAAGAAAAAGAAAGTCCCTATTTTCTACTTAAATCTAACTTATACGAGATTGATAATAACATGCCTTTATTAAAAAGAAACATGACATAGAACATGGCAGCAGCTTGTTCAGTGATTAACTAACAGGATTTTACATAAAATATAGTTCTAAACACCTGCATTTTCCCCTCTTTCCAAACCAGAGTACAATAACTATCATAATTATTGGGAACCACTGACATCTATTTATTCACAATTGAATTGGAATGGTGAGGTTGTGTTCACGGGTAGCCTATGCAAATGTGCATTTGTAGTGCTGTTCTCCCCTTTCTTGCTCTCATATGTAATTTAGTGTGTGTCTAAAATCTGTCTTTAACTGCTGAACATTTTGATATTCTAACTTCATTTTGTTCCTCCTGTAGGGATTGGATCAGGAGTCAGTTTTCAATTTAATAATCATCAAAAATTCAATATTTTGACATTGTATTCAACTACCAGGTAAGGCTTGTTCTCTGCAAAATAAAGCTGAACGTTCTCAGATATTTCAGCATTTTCTCCTGATCTAAATCATTTATGTCATTTTGATATACAGTACTTGATTATTTCTGTAAATCAGGACATCTCATGTAAATTACATCAATTGCCACTGCAAAATATAATTTTTTCATTCACAAATTGTGTGGCAGAGGTAGGACACTTTTTTTTTTTTAAGGTAGCCCGGAGACTCTTTGATCAACATGAGTGTGTGAAATACAAAAAGGGCAGTGCTTTTCCTTTTTGTATGTCAAACTTTATTTTTCAAATGTATAAGCATGAACCTGCCAATTGGTGCATATTAATATGGATCTTGCGAGACTGGCTAACTATGCATGCAAATTATAAAAATCTGTTTCAGGGATGAAACCATTCAACATGTTTTGGTCATCCTCTCTCTCCTCTTTGTGGAGTTATTTCCCCCCATCTTTCCTTTTCCCATTCTCATTCCAAATTAGTCTGGATAATTTTGTTAAATGTTCGGGGTGTTTTAATATTTTTCAGCGTGGAAAGGAAGAGAGCAAGATCAGAGCAAACTGCTACAGTCAATAAGATGTTTTACCAAGAAAACAGTATCGAAGGGAATCAACAGGCAATACACTATAGTGTAATTGATCAAGTTAAAAAGGTGTGCGAAGTAGTGGATGGATTCATATATGTTGCTAATGCAGAAGCTCATAAAAGTAAGGAAAGTTATTTTGACTATGTTGACTCATATTTTGTGGATAGTTGAGATGCTGCTAATACATGAGAATACATTTATACTTTGAAGCCCAAATTCTGACACTAATATTCACCTTCAGAAGTGCAGCAAAAAGTACTAATCAATACGAGTAAGAATCATAGGTCCAAATGAAATTAATGTAGTTTCAGGACAAATCTTACGAATAATTGACTACTGAGTCTGCTATATAACTTGAAGAATTGAATTTCATAAGGACACTAACAAGCAGATTATATGCAGTTTTCTTACAATATAAAAGCAAGGTATGATTCTGTTATTCCTTTGTATAAATAATTATTTGGTCTGAATTCTTAAAACTCAGCTAGAGCAAATGAGATGAGAATTTTAAAATGGCAAATGGAAAGATTTAGTTTTGTTAATGGTTTTTTTGTATAATGAGACTAAGTAAAGTCCTTATTCATGTCTGAATACCAGTGACATCATAGAACAATTTTTGGAACTCTTCAGAATCCATCACTAACTTTGTGCATACAGCAGCTGACTTCTTCATGATCTGCTTTATTTGGACATAAGCTTTTGTGAGTAAAAACCACTTTGTCAAATGCAGAGTGGAAATCAGAGAGGTAGAGATATATGTGTGTTCTAACATATCAAAAGAAGGAAGTTACTTATCAAGTGTAGGACCACTGATAATGAAGCCACTTTAGCTGGGTGGATGTGGTTCACTCCCAGCAGTTTATATGGAGATGTGAATACCAAGAGAGAGAATTGCCTTTATAGTGAGATAACAATTCTAAGTCTGGATCCAGTCCTAATTTGATAGTGTTAAATTTTCAAATGAATTGCAGCTCTGTTATTTTTGTTTGTAGTGTGGGATTTTTTTTTAAGAATGGTGAGTTTTAAATCTGTTACTGAGTGTTCTGCTGGTTTTTGTATGTTATCTTTCTTGATGTCTGATTTGTGACCTTTTTTCCTTTGGAGCGGAGACAGTCCATTTTGGCTAATGTACATGGCAGAGGGGATGGCAAATAACATATTAGTAGATGTGCAGGTAGATGAGCCCCTGATCATGTGGTTAGGTCCTGTGATGGTGTCGCTTGTAAAGATATAGGGACCAGAGTTGGCAATGGGGTTTGTTGCAGGGATGGGTTCCTAGATTAGTGTTTTTGTGGTGCAGTGTGTGTGACTGCCAGTGTTCCCTCTATTTTTTCCATCTGTGTTTGGAATAAATTTTGTTGTGTGGACCAAAACATGTGTGGATGTGCACCACTAATGGAAACAAATGCCCTCCACTGTGGGTGTTTTGCTAATCAGCTGGGCAGCATTTAAATCTCTCCTGGTGGCCACACAGGTGTTCATCTGCTGATGAGTATTTGCTTCAGGTTGAGGAGCTGTCTGTAGAGGAGGACTGGCCTGTGTCCCAAGGTCTGTGAGCGTGAGGGATTGTTTCATAATTTACAACCTGTTCTGGAAATAATGAACTGGAGGGGTTTTAGCTGGGGTCTGTAGGTGATAGCTAGTCATGGTCTGTTATTTTCCTTGTTGGGCCTGTCATATAGTAGGTGACTTCTGGGTACTCATCTGTCTCTGCCAGTCTCTTCATTGGTTATCATCTGCAATGGTGACTCAACACTACTTCTTCTGTAATAAGTTTATCAAGGATATTTTTATCTCTATGCCTAATATAACCAAAGTATATAAATTGATTTCCAAGAGCAGTTTCCAGTTGTCTCCAATAATATTTCTAACATAAGCAGGCATTGTCTTCTCGTCCAGGAGCTATGCAAGAGACTTTGCCAGCACCAAATCTTTAAGATTTCATTTTTTCTTGTGAGCTGTTATAGTTTTCCAGGATTCACATATATAATTCATGATGGAAAAAATTAATCTTTGAGTCATCTAACTATATTTTGAGAGACCATGGTTTTGTCACACTTTCAAGAGAAAGGCCTTATCTGAGCAACTGAGCCATCCCTAGTTGTCTTCATTTTTTTTTTTTTTTGGAACTGCTCTATTGGTTAAATATGTATGATGCCAGATAATTACATTCATCTATTGCCTCTACCAGCTTGACAGCTGATATGATGTTTGTGCATCAACGTGCATGAATTTAGTTTTTGCCGCATTCAAGAATAGTCCATATTCCTCACTGGTTTTTACAGACTCCAATATGTATTGCATTGCATCAATGGTTGCAGCAAAGAGCATCATATCATCAACATATCTGAAGTTCGTTAAGAAATATCCATCAGTGGAAATCCCAGTTCCTTCCCCCTTATCAAAGTCTTCCAGGGCTTGCTAATAGTAAGTTCTGCACACAGGTTGAAAAGACCTGGGGACAGAATACACATGTCTTGCACTTTCCCCAGTGGAAAATCACTTATTGTTTCACATTGGTGTTCCCACAATGGTCTGTTGTGAGCAGTAGAGACTTGCTGTGAGTTCATTGTGATGCTTTGGAGTACTCTATGAAACACATTCAGTGATTATTATACTCCCTGCATTTTTCATATGACATGACATATTTGCAGTTTATCATCTGTGGCTCATACCTTTTTGAAACCAGCTTGTTGTGGTGCTACCTCTGCTTCTGTCAATTGCTTCATGCAATTGCGAATTATGCAGAGCAGTACTTTAATTGTGAGAGACATCAGGGAGATGATCTGACAGTTACTGCACTTTGTTGTATACCCTTTCTTTGTAAAAGCAGAAAGATTCCTTTTGTCCAGTCGTCCTGCCAATTTCTAATCATCCATGCATCATTTCATTACTAGTTTTCCACATGAGCAGTATCATGGTCACCAGTTGCTTATAGTAACTCTGGTAAATTATTTACCACTGCTTATTTTCCAAACTTCATTTTCATAATAATATGTACCACTTCCATATTCTTTTTTGTCATCTTGTGCTGTGAGTGGTTCTGAGGCATACAGGTTGGCTCTGTAATCTGAATCAGTAAAAACTGTGTCTATTTACAAAGCTCATGATATCATCTACGTGTTTTGATAGTCTTTAAGGTGCTGCTAGACCATTCATTATTTTTTGTGCTTTTATGTTGTTCTGTCACAGGGAAAACATTTTGTTAAGAAATCTGACCACTGTGAATATACCTTTTATGTTATTAGTCTCTTTATAATTCTCAAATACCTTGCATTTTGCCCTGATATATTTACTCTTGTCTAGTCTGCCTTTGAATTTGTCTGCCCAGTTTCTTGTTTTCTCTCCAGTGTCCTTCAGTCTCCTGTCCACTCTTTTTGTTCTGTCATTTTTTCATTTGCTCAAACACCTTTTCCAGTAACCATGGTGTGGTCCACCTTTGACTTTTCAGAATATGTGCTTATATGGCTTTAAGCATGAAAGTTGTCATTTAATTCCAGAATTCATTTGGGTTGTTTTCTTCTCTTTAAGAGGAGACTATCTATTATCAAATGGTTAGTAAAATCTGTACTGTTTTTTTCCTAATGTATGCATTGAAATATCTCATTAGTTTATCATACTGCTAGCACTGCTCTGAAACAGAGTTCTGCTGTCATCTAAAGCTCTTTCCTTGCTCATTTTCATGTTGTGAAGGTATAATTCTCCTTTGACCTAGTCTTAAGCAAGTGTGTGTGTGTGTGTGTGTGTGTGTGTTAAAATTTGTTCTTGTTTGGAGTATTTAAACTGGAGCATATATTTGCATGTAAGATTGTTTCTAGCATTTGATTTTATTTACAGAAGACATAGGAAAATAATGAAGAAATGGAGGAAAAAGTCAGATAGGGAAGGGAGATGTGGAAGGAAGAGGAAGATGGGGAGTAGAAGTTAGGAAAATGGCTTCTGTGAAAGTTAGGAAAATGGTCTTATAACTACAATGATGTGTAAGAATCAATATAGATAGACAATGTAACACAGATGAGTTTGATTATTTACAGTGGCATTGGTCTATTGTCTAATACTTATTTGCAAACTGTTTTCTAGAGCACAACCGTCAAGATGAATTTGCTCATATTTTGGCAATGATAGATCCAACTCTGGGGCCTCCAAACCGACCTGTACTGGTTTTGTCCTGCACCTCTCAAGTTGACATGAAAAGAATCCCTTGTGTTTATATGGCACATCAGCTGCAATTAAATCTGCTAAACCAACCATGGATGGTATCCTCGCTTCTTAAAATATTTTTCTTTTTATTTATCCTCTTTATGTTTTCTTGTGAGGGAGCAGTAATGTTTGGAATGAACTTTAATTTAAATGTTAGTGGCTCACTAGCTAAAGGCAGACAAGCCTAAATACAGATTTTTCTTTGCCTTCATAGTGATAATATTGGAAAGCTTTGTGTATTTTTAAAACATACCACTGTTGTTTAGAACACTACAGAATTTGAATGAAACTATCCTAGTAATTATAGAATTAACAATCTATGTGAAATTCTGAAATTTGAAGCTTTGTTCCCTTAGGAGTTGAAAAGGACTTTCAAATAACCTGTGATTCTGGCTGATATTATGAAGGAAATAAGATGTTACACAACAAGAGAGGGGAGAATTAAGAGAGAACTCCATAGGAAATCAATAATATAAAGATTTTCTAATGCCTTTCTTTACTTATCTTCTCAACAGTACTGTTTCCTTTCCCCTAATTTACTCTATGAAACATGGTCTGTTTAAGGGAGTTGGAAGCCAGTGACAAAACAGGCAGATTTGACAGAGGACATTAAGAACAAATATGGAATGTTAATCTGATATCTGTACACCCACTAAGTATATCCATATACAACACTAACATCTGCCATTCTTGGTTTTACAGGTGCAAGACACTGTAGCTGCTACTTTAAGTGGGCTATTAAATGGAATTGAGTGGATACTGGGAGAAGCTGAATGTAAAAACTCACAATGATCGATCTTGCTTGGTCATTCTGTGTATGGACTTCGTAATTTTGCTCAGAGTATGAAGTTAATATTTCACCCTGAAGTGGCACTGACTGATAAAAGGTTTAAAAGGCGGCCCTCCATGATTGCAAATATTTTAATAATCAGCCTTCTGCCAGAGAGAGACTTGAATTTTAACTGAAAGCAAGTTTGACTGGATAACAACATTTGACAAAGAAATGGATTTGATTTTTGTTAAATGTGGGGCCTTTATAATGCTTTTTATTCTCAGCATATTCTGTAATATAAATCATACTGCAAACTTTTTATACCTGATTAGCTTATACAACCTTTTCACCTAAGTGTCTGCCATACCAGATTTAGGAAGCATACTATATGGACATCCCTGATGGCACAGAGAGCCACTTCTTATATAATGTAGTCCTTAAATGACCAACAGAAGAGACATGCCACATACCACAATATATACTTAACTAATCATCTACTGGACCAGGTTTCCTGAATGATGTACATTGTATTCGATATTTGTTCCAAACACTCATCCTGGACTAACTTCCAAAAAGGGGGAAAAAAAATTCTCCAGCGGCATTGCTTAGGGAAAAGAGGTAATCTTGAAGAGGAATTGTTAGCTTATACCAACATTTTTAAAAATGAAAAATTGATTGACTTTCTTCCTATTTGTATTTTTCCTGACTGTCAATAGACATTCATAAAGCCTACCTGTGTCTGCTTTCTGCTACACTGATATTACCCTGAATTTGACATCCATCACCATGGAACAAATGTCCTTTTTCGTCATCAGGACATCCTGACCTGTAGAGACATTATCTGCTTCTAAGCTCTCAGCTGGCAAACCTTTATACAAATACTTTCGGCAGCTAGCAAATGCCTGAAATGTAAATGTTTTGGTTTTTACTTGTTCTTCTGTGAAGCTGAAATATTTTTATAAAATGGAAAAAATACCGCTAGAGGTGGAATTACAGTTTACGTACTGTGGTGTGTTGGGGACAAAATGGACCCTTTCTCCTACTTTAATCTAGTACTTCTCACTCTCTCTTTGTTGCTTATCACTGAATTGCCTGGATTACCTAACACTCTTCCTTGGTTCTGTTGGCCTGCTTTATATTTATTTTTAATCTCCTTGGGTTTTTTTACTCTATATTTTCTCTCACCTCAGTAAAACCTTCCTATTAACTAGAAAAGTACATGCAGCTCTAGTGGCAAGGGCTATACCTAGGTCAAAGGGCAGCTTTGTGGAGCTAGAACATATTTTTATGATGTGTTTTCATGAAATTAAGGGCTGGCAGAGCAAAGAGAAATTGAGCCTGCAGCACAGTATGTGTAAGTAGTTCCCATAGCTGTCTACATGAGGGACTACTATAGGATCAGAGCAGGAAGACAAGGAGTTTTCATGGATTCACCGTCTTCTTTACCTCTATCTAGGGCATTTGACTACTTCAGAGGTAAGGGTCATATGTGCATTGGGAGCCTATAATGTTAATTATAGAACAACATTAGAATTATGTATTCATAGTCATAACAGCCCTCTACCCCTGACAGACTTATTTGGGGTGAAATTTCTATCTATAACTTGAAATTAAGCTAGTGCCACTTATTTTTACTATAAACATCTCTGTGACTGATGAGGGCTCTCAACGTTTTGAAGGCATGGATCCTCAATGAGAACTGGCCAGAATGAGGCCTATGAAGAGAAAATACAGACACGTTTAGGAGCCTGACCATGCAGAGCAAGTGTTCCAACGTAACTTCACCATTCTTCTTATCAAAACAGAGGGAACTTTACAAATGGTCCTTAAACCCATCATCTTTCAGTAGAAGGTAAACACAGTTGAATTGGTCTAATTCCTGCAAAATACATATGTAAAAAAAATTCCATTTGGAAAGTTCCCTTTTTAAAAAGTTTAGTAGTGATTGATATTTAGGACAGAGATAGAAATAAAGGAAATTCAACCACATTTTGTGTTTCTATAGCATTAGATACCCAAGGCCTCCTAACTTTGGTTTTGTTTGTATCGCTGCTCCTAAGGGATAATTTGGAGTCCTAAGATCAACCCTGGGAGCTCCACTCTACCTATTCTAACTTATTTTTTAATGGCACGTGTAGTTCTCTTCTAAGATACTTTACAGAAGGGACCAAGGCTCACATGCATAAGGTAATCAACATTTTTGATAAATACCTTAAATACATACAGATCTCCATACTTTGTAACATGGCTTCATGTGAGCTGCTGGTTGTTAAAAAAAATAAAAATAAAAAAGAGCTACTATAGTCCAATGGGCACTCTGCTCTGTAGGAGGAGAATGCTCCGTCTCTGATGATATTGCAACTCCTACCATTTCATACATTGAGAAGGAGGTTTCATTCTTCCCAAGTTAAGTGGTGACCCTAAGGCACAACTGGCAACCTGGCCATGTCTTTGTAGCAAAATCTGGCTCTAGGTGAGGCTCTTATGAATGATTTCTCCTGTGTGAATTCTTTGACTAGTTTTGTGTGTGAGACTCTCTGATACATGTTGTAATAGGTTAAATATGCTGTCTTTAATACTGCATAATTTATGCAACAATCACTATGTGTAATACACTGTCTTTTAAAGGTGGTAGATCTTTCTTAATTGTGTAGGCTCCATAAACATCAGTGTTGTCCAGTAACAGTTAAAAAAATACCTGGTCCATGGTGCAATCTGGGGAAGAATTATGAACATGGTCCAAAGCAATCATATTATTGTCATGAGGATGGGAAGGTAAAAAGTTTGTTAGAAAGAGGAGAAAATATCTCCAGGAAATTTTTTTTGCTTTCACATTTTTCAGAAGGAACATGAACAATGAAGAAAGTTAAAGAGAATTTTTAAAAAAGTTCATGTTGTCCTGTATAACATTTTTATTCCATGGATCTATAATAGTAAGAGCAGCTTTGAATAATCAACTCAGTAGTTATCCTCAAGTGTTTAATACAGAGAAACTTTTTAGTGGTATGTTTGGGTTCCAATGACTGTTGATGTTTGCAAACATCTCAGACTAAATGACGGTGTTTCAAAATCTAGAGTTTTCTTCTCATGAGAAGGAAAATAATAATTATTTCAAAGCATAGTAATTCTATTTTAATAAATTGGGCCACATGTTAGCCCTTCTGCATTAAACCAAAATAACTAGCCTTTTTTTCTTATATCTCTTTCCTAATATTTTCCTGTTGTCTCTTGGTTTCTGCATGCTAATCTCAAAGGAGTGATTTCATATGCATATGTATCTCAGTTATTTTTGGTTTTAAAAAAAAGTACAGAAGATTCAATGGGGAATATCCTTTTTTGTGAGTTTAGAGAACAAAAAATGGCTACTATATGCACCATGTATCAAACAATGGTAAACCAATTTAGAAAAAAGCATGGAGGAAGATTAGAGCTAGAAGTTGCCTTATGTAATACTACTTGCTTTTCTTTCAAATAGTACAGGTTCCCAAAGTTTCAGAGTGAGAAATGTAATTCTTCCTTAGCTTCACGTGTCTCCATTTCATTATGGGTGCTTTGGTAAGTGTCATGTATTTAGTTCTGTGGTTTTAGAGCCCTCTTCTGATACATATATCACACAGGGTGGGGTACAAGCACATTTTGCTCCTGCTTAAATCCCAGTGGAAGCACCTGCTGTTAAATTACCAGGTATGGTGGTGTATGGACATGGGATTTAGATATTTATTGGGTTAACTTTTATAGTTTATCTAAGGCAGGGCAGAGCTTCAAGGGTGAAATCCTGGCCCTATTGAATGGATGGCAAAACTCTCACTGAGCATAAATGGGGCTAGGTTTCCATGCCAGGTGTACTAAAGGTGGAGCTGTCACTGGGGAATACTGATCATTAGTACTTGTTGGGCAGTGTCCTGGGCCAGAAGTTCTGGGGCCTCACCCATGACCCAAAATCAACCCAGAGTGTTTTCTGCTGGTCTGGTCCTTAAAATGCAGTGAAATATAATGTGCTGGGCTATTGTAGCTATGTTGGACCCACAATATTAGAGATGGGATGGGTAAGAAGTCCTGAGAGTGAAAGAAACAAGCTTTTGAGATGACATTCTTTTTCAGGACCTGTGTCAGCTCAAAAGCTTGCTTCTCATCAACAGAAGATGGTCCAATAAAAGATATTACCTCACCCATCCTGTGCAAGTTTATTATACCATATAAGGCCAAAGTCAGCATTTATACTCCATATCCACAGCTTCACATTAAAAAAAAACCCTTATTCTTTCTGAGCTTGGAAAGCAGTACCTGACAGTTAAGTACAATCATTTTGCTTGGTTACATTGCCTGAAGTAGTGTTTCTCCTCACATGACACAATTTCTGGCTTAGCAAGCAGACCTAGGAGGCTTGCTTCCAATTTTTTCTATTGTAGATATCTTTCAGCACCAATGTACCTCTGCCAGTGTGAGTAGACATAGAACAGGTGATTTTTATCTTTGTCATTTAGGCCCATAAATTTAAATGAATTTCGAAATAACGGGCTGGTTATTTTGAAATTTATACTCCTGCTTTCCTCAGGGAATAATGCTTATTTTGAAAGTTATTTCAAAACAGCATTAGTGTAGAAGCTCCGCTGCTGATATTTTGAAATAATTACTCCCCAGGATAATTTAAAGTATTGACTTACAGCCCCAGGAAGCATTGGGAAGTAAAGGTAGCACATCCACAATAACAGAGCCTGCCTCAGAATAATTTTGAGGCTCCCCTGTTGTAAGGACACACTATTTAGATTTTATTTTAGTAGTTATTTCGAATTTAGTTATTTTTAAATAATCTCCTAGTGTAGACATGCTCTTTCTGTAAGTGGTCTAAGTGCTGCTTTGTGAGACACTGAACCCACACCCAATCTACACTAGCTCTTCCCGTATTGCTATCTTTGGTGGAATATTTTGGTGGAATATATTCTCAATATAGATGTGCCTAACAATCATATTCTTTGTTAAGCATATTCATTAGTCATTAGCTGTTTATAACGGTCTGGTTTTATTAAGTATTTAAGAAAGGGGTCAGCTGCCCAATGGAATCATGATCTGCAAACAGTTGGAAAGTTTTAGAGAATTTCTTTTTAGGGGGAGTGTGATGGGGCGCTGGTCTCCAGCGATGCGCAGCTCATGGCACCCCGCACTCCCTAGCAGGCCGAGGGCAGGGGAGGTACTGGTGGGGACGGGGGCAGGAGATGGTGGCTCCGCATAAAACCCCTGAGGGTTGGTGAGTTACGGGGGAATCCCCACCAACCAGACAACGCCGGTATGTCGCTGCCTTTAGGGTCCTGGGTCGGGACCCGGAGCAAGGGTGGGCCTGAGTCCCCCTCCTCCCTCACTCAGGGTTACATACGCCAAGCGGGACTCTTACCCAATGGGCTCCCCGCTGAACCATGGACCACGACTAGGGGTGGAACTAATGGAAGGGAAACATGGGTGGAGGAAGGTGCACGGGCAGTCGACCCCGATGATGAATAGGCTGTAAGCCTGAGGGGGAGCCCAACCCGCGACAGGGAGAAAGTGAAAGGTTAGAAATAAGATGAAGGTTTTTTTTACATACTCTTGATTTTTCCTATTTTCATGAAGAATTAGTAAACTAGAAAAGAAGTAGAATTTTTTCTGTCTGGGTAAAAAAACGTGTGGTTCTGGAAGTCAAGGGGAAATTCAAGATAAGAACACAGGAATACTGAACTGCACATGGGGCTTCTAAACGGCATCAAAGCATAACTTTTCTCCTTTCCTGTAAATACTCTGAAGATTAAAAACCCTCTATATAGATGACTAAAAATCAGACAAACTTAACAGCTCAAGGCATAAATATGGCATGGGTCTGGTATGAGTCAGAGCCATTCTGGTGCTAAGTCTTTATCACTGGTGAGTTGAGCTAACCTCACTCTGATTCTTTCTGGAAATATGTCCATGTTACAAAATGTACCAGCCCAATAGACCACCTTCTTGGTAGT